GTCAGTTTCTCTTCTACTTCCCCTGCCCGCCTTCAGCTGTCTAACTCCCAGCACACAGCTCCTCATGTCAGCACCTGCCCTTGGCTCTATTCAGCCCGTTTTTAAAACCGCAAACCTTTTCTTCCACATCTTGTACCTTTTCTTACCTCAACACCCTTCCTCTCCCCTCGACTACACCCTACAACTGGGTCCCATTTTCCACCTTCCACTTTAACAGTTCTCCGTCTGGTCTCAACATCCTTCAGTTTCACCCAGCAGCAGTTTCTAGCCTAAAGTCCACATTTATTTCACATCTGTTACCTCTGTCTAAGTAAGAAAGAGTCTTACAGCAACACAGCATCGGAGTTAGGGTTTCTACATCCCATTTCCCTTTGCAACTGGTATGACCCATCTGGGCCAACTGACTCCAGTGGTTAGAGCTGTCATTTTCTAGCTACTGTGAGCTGCAGAATCCCTTATTCAAATAAAGTCTTAAAGTGTTAGCAAGAAACACTTAAAACATTGGCTTGCTCTGGCTAAAGTGGGTATGAAAGTCTGGAGCCCCCTTTGCTTCTCATTCTCGTGACCCTAGAGGAGTCTGCAGAACCCCAGGTTCAAAAACCACTGGGTGAGAGCGTGTTCTAATGCAGCCCACATGGCGAACTCCACACTAGCAGGCCGGGTTTTGCCATGGGCTATGCAACATCCCAAAAAGCACCTACCTACAATGGTTATGTGGGCAACCCTGGAGAGTGGGACAACTGACGGGGTTCAATCGCAACTCCCCCACTTACTAGCTGAGGATCATTAGACAATCTACTTAACCTCTCTGTGCCTGAGATTTCTCATCTGTGAGGCAGGGATAATAATCGTTCCTATCAGTTCAGTGGTGGAATTCTGCTTCCCATGTGGGAGACCTGGTTTGATTCCAGCCAGTATACCTCATGCACAGCCACCACCTATATTCCAGTGAAGGCTTTTGTGTTGCTATGATGCTGAATAGGTTTTATCAGTGCTTCCAGACTAAGACGGACTAGGAAGAAAGGCCTGGACCTATTTTGAAAATCGGCCAATGAAAATCCTATGCATCACAATGGTCTGATCCTCAACCTATCATGTGCATAGGGCAGGACCGGGCAGTGTTTTGTTCCATTGTGCATGAGGTTGCCATGAGTCAAGGGCTAACTTGACAGCAGCTGACAACAATATCTCTTAGTCTAAGAGAATTAAATGAGTTCAGACCTAGAGAAGGCTTAGAAGAATGTCTGGCTGACCAAGCATAGGTGGTAGATAATTGTTTGCTATTGCTATCTTCCAAAATCATATCACTGTTTCCAAGGGAGACCTGGGATGGTAGTGTAAGTGACTCAGCACAGTTCTATCACAGGACACACCTTGTGGACAGTGGTCAGCACTGTCCTCCTCTTACGTAAGGTACCAAGGACTGTCCTTTTGCAAACCACCCTCTTGAAGTACAGGAAATGGCAGCTAAGTGCCCTAAAAGGGGACACTGGCTTCATCCAACACAGCAACTGACTCCACAAAGGAGTGTACTTCTCAAGGTTTACTACAGATTTAGGTCAAGTAACAGATCATAGTCATTGCTTAGCGTTTCAATGGAAACGACCTGGGCCATTTGATAAGACTTGTAAATCTAAGGTTAATTGAGACTTGAGTATTGCAATTCTAGGAAGCAGGGTACTTGGCAAGTTTGTATATTTCTGAATCTGTCCCCTGTTTATAACTACAAACATATGCCATTAATTTATGATTTTCCTTCTATAGGCTTCACCAGGGCAACACAAATAAAGAGATTAGTCATTAAACCCAGAAGGAATTTGAGAACAGGACATAAACTTTAAAGAAGGCTATACACTGGGAGAAAAAAAGATGTAAGAAGTACAGGCAATAGAAAATTAGCTGCTAAATCTTTGGGATAATGCATTTTTACAGTTTGTTTTTAATAATACTCGCTATATTGTACTTTAATCTCTGGTCCTCCAAACTAAGCCAGGTAACTCTCAGGGGAAGAAAAGTAGAGGCTTTTCTAAGTAGTATGAATAGGTGTTTCAAACAAACAAAATCCAAATCTTTTCTTTCCTGAGTGTGTAATTTCCATATTATATTTTGCCCACCATGCTGCTATATAAGATGGACAGTGGAGATATACTGACTCCGCTTCCTGAGTGCCTACTTTCCCAACAAAGAATGAGAAGATGGCCCCACAGTCGTTCTTAAAGCTCGGCCTGCGTTAGATGCCTTCCTAGCCAGCTGTGGGGAATGCAGGAATAGCTTTGTTAGCATCTTTGGCCTCATGTCTCTGATTAGAATGAAAGGAATTGATGCTGATACAGGCCCCAAATCCCTTATCATCAATTCCAAAATCCCCAAATCCCTGCAACCAAAAGTTTTTTTTCATGGAACTTTTTCAAAATAAAGTCCTTCCACGGCAAAGCCTGACCTACTTGACATGAGGCTTTTTGTAGTCATTATTTATTCTATTTGGAGTCGCTGGATGGTGCAAACAGTTAACGAGCTTGGTTGCTAAGAGAAAGGTTGGCAGTTCGAGTCCACCCAGAGGTGCCTCGGAAGAAAGGCCTGGTGAACTATTTCTGAAAGATCACAGCCATTGAGAACCCTGTGGAATACAATTGTATTCTGACAGTCATGGGTTTGCATGAGTCGAAATTGACTTGATGGCAACTGATATTTATCCCACTTAGGGTGATGATGCACACATTTTGCTGTAAAATATGATTGTGTTTGCATCTGCTGACCCAGACCCCACTAAAAATGTTACACAATATATGGAATATATGCCATTTTACCTTCTAAAATCTGAAAAATTCCAGATTCTGAAACATGTCTGACCCTTTGGGCTTTAAAGGTCGATGGGCCTGTCCTAAACATTCTGATGTGGAAAGAGGTCTGCAAAGAAAGGATACCATCTGACTCTGCGGAAGAAAAATGGAGTGCAAATCTAGAGCGTGGTGTGGGCCTGCTTCAGAAGGATGGGGACTCAAAGGGAGATCCCTGCGTGGTCTTGAAAGTCTACAAGTGGCCATCTAAGATACTCCACTGGTCAGGAGCAAGGGAGAAAGAAGAGAACCAAAGACACAAGAGAAAGATTAGTCCAAAGGACTGATGGGCCACAACTACCACAGCCTCCACCAGACTGAGTCCAGCACAACTAGAATGTGCCTGGCTACCTACCACAACCGACTGCTCTGACAGGGGTCACAACAGAGGGCCCCAGACAGAGCTGGAGAAAAATGTAGCACAAAATTCTAACTCACAAAAACAGACCAGATTTACTGATCTGATAGAGACGGGAGAAACCTTGAGTGTATGGCCCCCAGACACCCTTTTAACTCAGTACTGAAGTCTCTCCTGAGGTTGACCCTTCGGTCAACAATTAGACAGGCCCATAAAACAAAACGAGACTAAAGGGACACACCAGCCCAGGGGCAAGGACTAGAAGGCAGGAGGGACACGAAAGCTGGTAATAGGGAACCCAGGGTTGAGAAGGGGAGAGTGTTGACACGTTTTGGGGTTGGCAACCAATGTCATAAAACAATACGTGTATTAATCGTTCATTGAGAAACTAATTTGCTCTGTAAACCTTCATCTAAGGTACAATTAAAAAAATTTTTTTAAAAAGGCGGGGGGTGGGAGTGGGGTAGCTCCTGGGATCATCTATCTCAGCATGAGGACAGGAAGCCAGTGCAGGGAGCGATGAAATCCATCACCAGCCATGCTCCTTGACTGACTTCCCACCACTGCCTTCAAGTACAGGCTGATGCCCAGGTGAGCAGAGGACAACACCACACCCACCCCAGCCTCCGAGCACTCTTATCTTAGGACCTTTCCAGGACTTTTGCCAGCATTTTTCTTCATTTTCACTCTCTTTACCATCGCTCTACTCTAAAAGATTTCTCTTCTTTTAAATTCCATGCTGATAGCTACTCAAACTCCACTGGTGACAATGGTTTAAGTCGTTCGTTGTCGTTGTAGCTACCATCGAGCTGGCCCCCAGCTCATGGTGACTGAACACACAAGGGAACGAAGCACTGCCATGTCCTGCACCATCCCTATGAGGGGTTGTGGATTGAACCATTGTGATCCACAGGGTTTTCACTGGCTGATTTTTGGAAGTAGACCACCAGGCCTTTCTTCCTACTCTGTCTTAGTCTGGAAGCTCCAGTGAAACCTGTTCAGCAGCATAGCAACTTGCAAGCTCCCCTGAAAACAGGTGGTGACTGCTCTTGAGGTACGTTGGCCAGGAATCGAACTCAGGTCTCCCACACGGAAGGCGAGAATTCTATCACTGAACTACCACTGCCCCCAGGGGTAAGTTTAGGAAACTTAAAAACGAACCAAATTAGTTTCATTCTGTGTATACGTATTTTTTATGCTGGATTCAGACTGCCTGGGTTCAAATAGTGACACCACCACTTCCTAGCTATGCAACTGTAGACAAATTACTTAATCTCCTTGTGCCTCAGTTTCCTCATTCATAAAATAGGAATAATACTGTCTATCTTACACAGTTGGTGAGAGGATGAAGTGAGCTAATACTATGTGAAGCACTTAACACAGTGCTTGGCTTATAGTGATTGCTCCACAAATATACGCTAGCATTACTAGTGCATGTGTTTGCAACTGGAGCCCTGGTGGCACAGTGGTTAAGAGCTACTGCTGCTAACCCAAAAGGTTGGCAGTTCAAATCCACCAGCCGCTCCTTGGAAATCCTATGGGACAGTTCTACTCTCTCCTGTAGGGTCACTATGAGTCAGAACCAACTCGACGGCAAGGGCTTTGGTGTTTTGGTTTGGTGTCTGCAACTCTTTCCTAAATGAGCTTCATACACTGGTAATATGCTTTTTTTTCTTGTAGGATTTCTCACATCCAATTTACAAAGTGGGTACCATCAGGACATTTGGTAGTCAATGATCATTTGCTAGAGATAAAGAAAAAGACAACAAAAAATAGATGCATGATTAAAAGTGTGAAGTTACAACCTGTTTTCGTGGTAACTGTTGACTATAACTTTGTGGTGGTGTGTGCAGTTCCTCCCTCCAGCTCTTTCCTCCTCTTGCTAATTTGCTTTGAAACCTAAAAAACAAAATAAAAAGAGGGCAATGAAACTTTTGATATACACATTTCAAAATGAAACTGTCACACAGAACAGATCTTTGAGCAAGTCTTTCATAATGCATTCACATTTTGGTTTTCAGATTACCCATTCTTGAAGCATTATTTCAAATAATATTAATCACATTGTCCAACTAATAATGCATTCTAAACCAAATCAAACCCATTGCCGTCGAGTTGATTCAGACTCATAGTGATCCTATAGGACAGAATAGAACTGCCCCATAGGGTTTCCAAGCAGCTGGTGGATTTGAACTGCTAACCGTTTGGTTATTAGCCAAGCTCTTAACACAATGTCACCAGGGCCCCAATAATCATGCACTAAGAACAGTTAATTCTGCATTAACTGAAATCCAATTGCTTAAGCATTGCAACTAGAAAAATAACCTTTCCAATGATAAACCATTCCCTGATACCCCACAAATCTGTACCATTCAAATGGTCAAACAGACCAAAAAATAGATGCCCCTAACCTTCCTCAGACTTCAACAGTAACATCTGTCCAAACGGGCATCGTGGGTCATCTCTATCCATGTGTTCATAACCTTTGAGTGCATTTTCAGTGCCCCCAACGCTGAGTCCATGGTTTTAAATGGAGAAGCTGGGAAGCCCACATACTCTTACCTCCCGCTCTGCTATAGAATTAAGATTGAGAATCAAGCTTGACTCTTTTTTCTAGGACTGACCGTAACTGGACCAACCCATATCTGTCTCCGTTGAATTTACCTTCACTCTATTTTATTTGTCCAAAAAGAATTCACCAAAAAGAATGTCCAACTTAAGAAGGGAAAAAAAGAAAGAAAAAAAAATCGCAGCTAAATGTGGGTTTAAAGCTGAAGAGACTTGAGATTGAAAAACTGCCAGTTCTTACTGCTCACTTACTCATATGAGGGTTTACAGCTCCTGAAATCATGCCAGGGCTTTGAAAATGAAAGCTTGCAGTTAGAAAGCGATGGCTCATGACAGCAACTATCCGTCATGTGATACGCCAGGCATTTTCCGTCACTGCCTTCCTCAATCAGACAGGGCTCAGAAACGGAGGTTAATCGGTCAGATAGCACGCGGGGAGGCTGAGGGCAGCAGAACCTGGCTGCGGCAATTAATCATTTAATTGCGTTCCGATTCACTTTAAATGTCTTTTAAAAAGATATTAAAGAAGAACATTATTGAAAGGACATTTTAGACTATTCAATAAAGATCCAATATACCTTTTGTGAACCAGAAAATAAATGGATCTCTAGCCCAGCTCTAGCTCATTGTTTTCTTGGGTAACATTTATTTATATAGAGGAAGGAGTAGAGTCTGCTCCAGGCAGGAGAAACAGCATGTATAAAAGCCCAAAGGAAAGAAAGCATGGGTATGTTCAGTAAATAAAAATAAGTTGTTCAGCTAAAGGGTAGGGTGTGTGAGGGCTAGAGAGGAATACCTGAAAGCATAGTGGACTCCATTGTAGAGGGCCTCAAATGCCAAGCTAAGGGGCCTGGACTGGATCTATCAGGCAATGGGAGCCACTGAAGGTTCATGAGCAGAGAAAATAACGTCATTAGGGAACAGCATGGACTTTGGAGCCCACCACCCCTGGGTTATAATTCTAACCTTGCTCCTCATGTTGGGCACATTATGTACCTTTTTGGAATCTCCGAAATGATACAACTGAGTAATAACACAATTTACAGGATTATTGCAAACATTAGAAATAACATACATTACATACCAACCCAGGGCCTGGCACAGACAAATAATGATGGCTGTTACTACCGCTGTGCAATGGACGGGAAGAAACTTCATGTAAGAGGCCATAGAGATCCAGGTGAGAGGTAGAGAGGGTAAAGCCTAGATAAAGCATAGGCAAGGAGAGTGGCAAAGAGAAAACGGGATAGAAAGCACGGGACACCACAAAGGTGGAATCCAGGATTTGACAATGATTGGACATGAGCAAGAGGAGAAACCACGGAGACTCTAAGATAAGCATAACAGGAGTTGGAGAGACGCAAACTTCTATGGTGATCCAAAATAAATAAAAAACGTAAATAAATGCCAAACACCAAGCTTGGATTTCTGGAATGACTATGAAAATAACCAAAACCATATTTCTTTCTACAGTGATCCCATCTGAACTCTTACTAATAAGAGCTGCCCTGAAGAGCAATTTTCAGCTCCACAGGGTCAGATGCTTTGGATTATGTTACCCAGCGCAGTATACCAGGCAGGGTCTTCTTCCCACACACCCTCACCACAGACGTCCTCAGGCACCTCCACTAGGCTTCATAGCCATCACTCACTCTATGGGCCTCTCAGCACAAATAACTGCTGATGCCCTTCTCACACTGCAGCTGCCTTCCCCAGAGACCCACGCTCACGGATATCAGGTAGAGAAATACCTGGCACTTCAGAGTAGCAGGGCAGCAACGAATAACTCATTGCGCCCTGACATTTTCATTAGGCACTACATTATAAGTTTCTTCAGGAACCAGCCTTCATAATTTTGTACCACTCTGCTCAGAAGGGATTAATATGACTTTCTTACACGTACCGGCTGCAGGCCCTCATACGGCACAAGCTTCCGCTCCCGTCTACTTGGGCTGTGGATTTCAGCCGTCTCAGCTCCACATAATTCACAAAGGAATCAGCCCACAGACACTTCCCAGCCACGTGTACCTGCCAGCACACACAGGGGAAACTTTATAGCATATATAAATGGACTTTAATATTGCAGTATACCTTTTGGGATGTATGTCTAATTTGTTAGAACGTGCGGAAAAGCTGACAAGCCACTTTGCGTCTTTTTGGAGGCCTGTGCCTCGCACTTGCTGCCCTGGCAAAGTGCTGGAGAGGGTCATCTCCCCTACTCTCGGCCCTCTTCCTCTCCCTACAGCCTACAGGAGCGTTCTCACCCACGCTCCAGCACTTCCTAGAAGACTTGGAGTGATTTTTGTTCCTTCATAGCTCTCCCCGTCTTCCACCAAGCTAAAGGGGTTGTGTTTCTTGAATATCTCTGAGAAAACCTTGAATATGGTTTCACTTTATTTCATCATTTTCTTTCACTTTATTTCATCATTTTCAGGCCAAATGTCACACTGACTTATCTCCAGTTAACAACTTGGTACTTCTTTTACAACCTGACCAGCTCCTGAATAACAAAACTCAAAAAGCAGTGCAGAGTCTGTATTAAGGAGTACCTGGGTGGTGAAAAGGTTACCATGCTCGGCTGCTAATCAAAAGGTTGGCAGTTTAAGTCCACCCCGAGGTGCCTTGAAGAAAGTCCTGGTGATCTACTTCTGAAAAATCAGCCATCGAAAACTTTTGGGACCACAGTTCTACTCTGACACAGATGGGGTCGCTATGAGTCAGAGCCGATTCCACGGCAACTGGTTGTTTTTTTGCTCTGCAAAGAGAAATGGGACTTGGGGAAGAGATGGGTGATAATGTGAGGCCAAAGGTTATTTAGAAGTAAACTCCCCATAGATGGGAAAATGTTCCTTCTGGATTCTTCACAGTATTCTTAATCCAGGGCACTTGGCACTGTGTGTTAAAACGGCCAGTTGTTTGCTTGGCAGATCCTCCGATGGTGTGCAAGTGATTCTTTTTATCCAAATTAGTCTTGGATCAGAGAATTGGAGACTGAGATCCATGGTTAGAGTTTCTGCTTTTTATCTCTGTGTATCAGAATGATATCAGTGATACCAAAGAAGGAGAGCAGTGCCAGGCAGGGAAGTGCAGAGCATGTGCCAGGGCCTTGATACAACAAAAGCCTACACAGCTCTTACGGTTGCCAAAATCTGAATTAACCACAAGGAAACTGAACCAGGTATAACAAGGCTTATTTTTCACCTCAGAATTTTATTTTTGTATGTTTTAATTAAAACTTTTTCATCTTATTAGACAGACTCATAGGACAAAACGAGACTAAAGGGGCACACCAGCCCAGGAGCAACGACTAGAAGGCAGTAGGGGACAGGAAAGTTGGTAATAGGGAACCCAAGGTTGAGAAGGGAGACTATTGACATGTCGTGGGGTTGGTAACCAATGTCATAAAACAATATGTGTAATAACTGTTTAATGAGAAGCTACTTTGTTCTGTAAACCTTAATCTAAAGTACAATTGAAAAAAAAAAAAACCTTTCCATTTTCAAATTAAGATGCCAGGAGATTTTTTTATTTTTATTTTTTATTTTTGCTTTTGCTAATGAAAATTTATTTTCTCACAATTAAGGAGGCTGAAAGTCCAAATTCAGGGCACAGGCTCTAAGGTGAAGCTCTCTCTATCCACTTTGGGAAAAAACCCATCTCAGCTTCTTGGAATTCCTTGAGATCTCCATGCGGCATCTATCTGTGCTTTCTTGCTTCTGTGCCTAATCTGCTTTTTATATCTCAAAGGTGATTAGTTTAAAACACATCTACACTGATATGGCCTCATTAACATAACAAAGAAAATCCTATTCCCAAATGGGATTACATCCACAAGTATAAGGGTTAGGATTCCAACACGTAATTTTGGGGAACAAAATTCAATCCATAACATTCCGATCTTTAATAACCCATTGCCCTTGAGTCGATTCCAACTAATAACGACCCTGTAGGAAAGAGTAGAACTGCCCCACAGGGTTTCCAAGGAGTGCCTGGTGAATTTGAACTGCCAACCTTTTGGTTAGAAGCAGTAGCACTTAACCACTACGCCACCCTTAAGATGCACCCCAGCCTAATCTTGCCTCAGAGAGGTTTTAGGATTTACAACACATAATTACATCAGATCACCAAATGGAGGATAACTACACCATTACATAACTGCCAAACCTCTGAGAATCATGGCCTAGCCAAGTAGACACATATTTTGGGGGGACACAATTCGATCCATGACAATCATGTAGGTAAGCTTTTAGGCACAGTATGTGGCCTATAATTGGCGTTTGATAAACACATACTATTAAGTTATGAGATCACTTTGTTGCAGTGCATTGTGTGGATGGTACACTATTAGGCCCCAGCGGAGGCCTATGTGTGCAGGGCTGATGCAAGGGGTCTTTTGTCTCACCTCATAGGTGGTCTCCAGCAATCCCTATCTCCAACATCATGGGTAAGAAAAGACCAACGGTTTCCTGATACACCTGATTTGCACATTCACTCCGACCTTGCTAAGGCTGACTCTCTGAGTGGAGAGTCACGATTTCTTGAAGACTGGTAATCCCCAAGAATCCAAAAGCATCACATATAAACCAATGCTCCAGTGACTCGGATTGCTGTGGGTAAGATGCACTAGGAAAAGACACAGGAAGTAAACGTTTATGCACTGGGAAGAGTCATAGCTCCTTTGATGGGTTAATTTTCCCTCGGTGTAAATAAATGATGAGGCACTCATTAAGCCCGAAGTGGTCAGAAAAGGAATATAGGCATGATCTGTTTATATGTTTATATCCTGTACTTCTGGAAGTTCTGTTTAGGTCAGTGTATTTGACTTTTGCCCACTGGAGGAAGTTTGTTTAAAAACAATATCATCAAGAAAAATCATACAACGAAATTGTTGGACTTTGAAGACAAAATAGGTAATTTTATACATATAGAAACTGTGATGTGTTTTAAAAAAGAAAATTTCCTGGTGTCTGCTTTGTATGTGGGAAAGATATAAATCTGGGGGGACCAAGGAGTGTACAGACCTGGGAGTCAGCGTAGGGCTGCTTGGCTCCAAAGTCCTGTGTCTTCCATTGTACTGTTTGAGTAGAACGAAGCATGAACCTGGACATTTAAAGCACCGTGACACCGCTTTAGCTATTTCGTGTATCACTTCCCCACACTAGCTGGACCTGCCACTCTTCCTCTATGCTACCCTTGATCCTCTCTTGTTGTTGTTATTAGGTGTCATCAAGTCAATTCTGACTCATAGCGACTCCAGGTGACAGAGGAGAACTTCCTTATAAAGTTTTCTTGGCTGTAATCTTTATGGAAGTAAATCTCCAAGTCTTTCTCCTGTGGAGCTGCTGGGTGGGTTCAAACAGGTAACCTTTTGGTTAGCAGTCAAGCACTCAACTATTTGTGCCACCAGGGCTCCTTCTACCTCTCTTAGAGTACTTAAACCTGGAGTAGCAGGTTTCTAAACTAGCAGGCTGTTGCATTTGTTATTATGAAGTCTTCTGTTAGAGCGTGTGGGTCTCAGAAACAAGCTAAAGATGATCTAAGCCAGTGCGTTTCAAATTCCCTATGGCAAAGAACCAGTTTTCCTCCATTCCTTCGTTGACAGACACATGATCTACTGTGCATGTCTGGTAGACAGTTCAGGCCACAAGCAACTCACCATGCAAGTTTAACAACACCCTACTTAATAATAGGGAGCCCTGGTGGCATAGTGGTTAAGACCTCGGCTGCTAAGCAAAAGGTCAGCAGTTTGAATCCACTAGCCACTGCTTGGAAACCCTATAGCACAGTTCTACTCTGGCCTATAGGGTCGCTATGAGTTGGAATTGACTCCATGGCAACAGGTTTGGTTTATTCAATAAGAGGAGTCCCTGAGTGGTGCAAGTGGTTAACGTGCTCAGCTGCTAACAAAAATTTGGTGGTTTGAGTCCACACAGAGGCACCTTGGAAGAAAGCCTGGTGAGTTCCTTCTAAAAAATCAGCCACTAAAAGACCTATGGAGCAAATAGAATTCAGAGCCCAGAAATAAACCCACACATCATGGTCAACTGATTTTTGACAAGGATGCTAACTCCATTTGATGGGGAAAGAAGAGTCTCTTCAATAAATGGTGTTGGGAAAATTGGATTTCCACATGCAGAAAAATGAAACAGGATCCAGGCCTCACACCATACACAAAAACAAACTCAAAATGGATTAAGGGCCTAAATGTGAAAACTAAAACCATAATTCTTAGAAGAAAATGCAGGGGCAATGCTGTCTAACCTAGCTTTTAACAATGGATTATCTAATATCATAACAAAAGCACAAACAGCAAAAGACAAAATAAATGAATGAGGCCTCATAAAAATTAAAAACCTTTTTCCATCAAAAGACTTTACCAAAAAAATAAAAAGACAAGCTACAGACTGGAAGAATATCTTTGGAAACCATATATCTGATAAGAATCTAATAATCAAAATATATATAACACTTCGACAACTTAACAACAAAAAGATAAATAACCTAATCATAAAATGGACAAAAAACCTGAACAGACATTTCACCAAGGAGGACATTCAAACAGCCACCAAACACACGAAAACATGCTCAGTGTCATTAGCCATCAGAAACGTAATCAAAACCACAATGAGATACCATTTCACTCCAACTAGGTTTGCTAAGATTTTTAAAAAATAAAAACAGAAAATAACAAATGTTGGTGAGAATGTGGGGAAATTGGAACCCTTATCCATTGCTGATGGGAATGCAAAAATGGTACGGCTGTTGCGGAAAAACGTGTGGTGGTTCCTCAAAAAACTAAAAATAGAACTACCATATAACCCAGAAATTCTACTCCTAGATATACATCCAAATGACTTAAAAGCAGAGACTTGTACACCAATGTTCATTGCGGCACTATTCACAATAGCCAAAAGGTGGAAAAAACCTAAATGACCATCAACAGATGAATGCATAAACAAAATGTGGTACGTTCATACAATGAAATACTACTTATCCAGTAAGAGAAGTGAAGTCTTGACACATGCTAC